CGAAGGTACCCTCTGAGTTTATAGGCGCCGCTTGTTTCCAGGTCGGCCGAAGTAGTTCCAATCCCCGAGGTGCCAAGGATCAAGGCATGGTTTCTCGGTTGATGCCCAAGAAGATGCCCTTTGCCGAGTGCAGCTCGTCATCAGTGCCTTGTGGGCCGGTGGAAGATCATCTGCTCCGAGATTCATTCGAAATTTTTTCGTCATATATCAGATCGAATCTTGTCGCGTCTGTAACTCCAACGGCAAACTTGCTCATAGTAGAGTTCGCGTGGCGAAGAAACCAGAAGCGAGCTTAATACCTTCCATCTTTGTTATAGTCATTACTCTTCACTCCTTACACTGGTTCAAAATAAATATATAAAAAATTCATGAATTATTTTTTCCAGATTAAATCAAATATTACCGCTCCAAAAGTCGACTTACAAAATTCCGTATAAATACTCGAATTTTCACAGAATTTTTGATATTAATTTCAATAATCAACAAAAGCCAAATTAGTAATAATCATTGGAGAATACGCAAATCATAAGCAAACAAAGCCATCAATCCGCCAGAAGGCGCGACGAGACATCATATTAAGCGTCCATTTTCATTACGAATAATCATAAATATATTATATAAGTTTTCAATAATCTCAACCATAAAGAATTTTTTAATCTATTATTTTCATTAAAATTCTTCATTACGAATTATTTAGCTAATTAAATATGGTCCGGCTATTTGCATATTCTTTAAATAATTCAAACATTACAATCATAAATAATTATAAAATTATTCCTAATCTCGACTTTGGCTATAAATATCTCGGAAAATTATTCAATTTCTATATTTTAAAAAAATAAATTAATTAAAAAAAATTATATTTATCTCAAAATATTATCATATTTTCTTAAAGTTTGAATTTTTTTTTCGGGCCATCTTTTTAATATTTTTCTTATTATAGATATTAAAATCTCATTTATCTTTTTATGTTAATTTAAGAAATTTCTAAATCTTTTTAAAATTTCTTCATAGAAAAATTATACAATTTATGCTAAATATACAAAAATCCCTGATATTTCTGTTATATCTCTATATTACTTCACAAACATCATTATCAAATTTATTTCATTTCAATAAAATCTTTTTTTTTATACATCCAAAATACGAAATCTAATAAAAAACGTAGTAGAAATAAGACAATCAATTTCTCGATTGTGAAATCATCAACAATTTGCAATTTTTTTCAAATATAGAAAATCATTATTTGCAAACAATTTCGACAAAACCGTTCAATAAACGATTATAACACCGCAATGATCAAGAATTTACAATTTTCAAATTAAAATTTAAGAAGCCTGTGGCAAATAATTTTTGCAACCGAGCTTCTAATCCATTAAAACACCACAGACGAGTTCAAAACATGTTTTTAAAAGCGGTTCAGAATATCGTTTCGATACGACCGAATGTAACGGGTGATGTACAAATATCTGGTGTTAGGACGACGGGTGCAACACATTGCTGTGGGCTCCCATGATTGTTGTCTTTCACGCGTTTTTGCGTATCAAGCAAGTTTGCCATTGTTCTAGCTGAGCTCCCGGTGCTTTATGATGCAGAGTTGCTGCCATGAATTTCGACCATCTCTCGGAAGAATTAGAAAGCTGAAAAGGTGACAAAAAGCAAGCATGTTTGCGGACGTACATCCTATCAGGCAATAAGCTATAACTCGTTGAAGATTATTGGAAGAAGAACCCGGATTCTGTGTTTGCCCAGTTGTCTATTTTCCAGCATGTCTCAACACAGGCTCATGTGCACTACAATAATAAAACCAACAACACCAGTGTGATCACGAACCAAGGTCACAATAATACTCTGATTCTCTGATGCTACAACAGCTTCTTACTACAGCTGCTTCTACGACGACTACTATCTACTGGAATCTATTACTGCTACAGCGATCAGCAACAACAACGACTACTGCTGCTACTGCGACTACTACAACAACTACAACAACAACAACTACTACTACTGCCACTGCTACTGCTACTGCTACTACTACTACGACTACTACTACTACTGCTACTACTACTACTACTACTACTACTCCCTATGGAGCCTGGACGCATCCCTTAATGCGCAATGAGTGAGTGAGTGACTACTACTCGACTACGCCTACGACGATGTGTTCAGGGAAGAAATCATCCTGGTTGTCGTAAGAATTCGAAAACTATGTACAACAGACGATCAGAAGTAACACTCGTGACAATTATTTCGACAACTACTCCTACGAGCCGGAAAGCAAAAAATGCGACAAAAGGCAACATGTATGCAGACATGCATACCATCATGCATGCATTTTGCCATCGGTCTATCCAGACACAGGCATGCAAATTATAAACAAAATCCCACAGAATAACCGACCACGACTGAGAGCTTTGAACTAAGTCCATGGCAAATCTTCGAGAAACCAGGCCGATCCTGTTTTGCAGCTTTGGAAAGTTCGCCTAACACGAAAGCAAGCGCGTGTATGCTTCAACACGGTGCAGCTCGTTGTGAATTCGAAAACGTCCGCCAAGCATTCGGTTTGTTTGCGACCAACTGAGAGAACAGACCCTCGCACAAACCAAAGAAAGCTAGCTCGACTGGCAGGTTCCACCAAACAAACGCGCAATCAATGACAATTCGAACTTCAATGTTATGGTGCCTGGCAGCCTGCAAACCATTTATTGCTTGCCTGCCCTTAAAGAAGCCTTTTACTCGAGTCCTTCGATTTGCGCGAGAAAACTCAAACCCAGGGTTCTTGACACAGCCAAATGGCCACAACGGCGGGATTTGGGAACAAATGCCGCAGGATGTAGGAGTGCCGAGGATCATGGCTAAATACTGGCCAGATTCAAACGCACGGGCGCCGCCACAATGCTTTTTCCAGGTCTTGGATGGATTGCAAAAGCACGCACAAAACGCTTTCTCTAGGACGACGGCAGAAAGATTCCGCAGCCCTGCGAAAATGCTTTTCTGCCGGGAGTCAAGAGATGTCGAAGCCACAAAGCTTGCCATGCGCCCGAAATTACGATGAACCGGGTCCTCCGGGGTATCAGACCTGTGTAAATATTTGGACGTCAACGCAAAACCTTCGCAGCACCCGTCGTGCAGAAACACCAATGAATTCTGGTCTAGGCTGATCGTTAGAGCCCATGTTTTGTTGATTTGACCGCCTCGACCGCGGATCCTACCCATCGCATCCATCAAGACGGTCGTCATTTCTGGAACAGCACCAAGCCCATCTGTTGGATTTAAGACAACAACAAGCATACGAAATGTTTGCATCTCATCCGCCGCTAGTTTCCCCTAGATGTTGTGGGCTTTGAGCATTGCAGCTTTCTAGATCCTGCTGGGCCCATGCCCCGTGTTCGGTCACCAAGCTGTTGCCGAATAAGTCAGGGTATGTCCAGCCAAAATCATGGCAGGCTGTTCTCACGAGGTTTCATTCCTTTGCCAGCTCAACCGTACATGTTGAACACGCTCTAAACACTTGCCCACATCGAAGTGGCTTGCTCAGGCTTGTGATTTTTCTTTCACGACCCAACACCGTGCCACGATGTTCCTACGCAATACGTGTATTGGCAGGGAGAACAAGCCGTTTTCAATTTCTTATCATGGTGTTGGAAGGCTCACTCCGCAGTACTCCGTAGAATAATTTCCAAAATAGTTGTAGAGGAAGCACAACCCCTGAATCATATCCCGAATCGACCATGTCGGACAGCCTGGGCACAGTCTTCACTTTCGCTTGTTCGATACAATCTGCAGGAGGAAAGCAGAAATAGACGCAAAGCTTCTATAGTCATGGTTGCAGGACATGGATGAGCTGCAGAGGGGAGTTCAACCGCGGTATTGTTGTGCACACACCCTGTGCAGCAATTGTGAACGTTTCGGCTCCTAGCCAACCAGATGAATTGTGGCATAGGGTGTTCACTGGCGCATTGCAAAAGCCTATGTGCCAAACCAGGCTGGAAGCACGAGAAGTACTGTTGACACTAGCACAAAGGACAAAATTACCAGCCACACAGTAGCAGCTCTGTTTAGAAGTTTAGCACTGGTAGTGGTAACAGTAGCAGCAGTAGCGGTGCAGTCCCAGTCGCAGTGGTGGTCATCTTGGTCATCTTGCTCGGACGGTAAACGCTAAAGGGAGGGGGGCGGGGGACGAGACGACACGTCATTTTGGTCACCACTTGCACCAGGGCATCGGCGCCGTTCTGACGGTCCCGGCGTCCTTCAAAGACGCGCAGCGCCAGGCCAGTGGCGCTCACAATGAGGGTTTAGGGTTTGCAGTTTGGGGCAAGGTTGCAGCTACTACCAGGGACATCATGACTCGTCATGAGCATCAACAAGACAATAAGTAGTAATGACAACACTAACAAACGACAGTATATAAAAGTACTACCACTAGGGAGTTTTTAGGTTCGGGCCTTGAAGGCCCTCAAGGTTTAGGGTTGGGGGGGGGGGGGTTCGGAGTTTCGAAGTGGTGACGAGGCAGGGTGGGACGTGTGGCTCGCAGTGTGGGCTTAGGGATTAGGGTCAAGGGTTCAGGGCCAAAGCCGAGAGGCCAGCCGTTAGATTCGGCGCCACTTGCCCCCGCCCACTCAGCCGAGTCGTGCAAGTGGCTACTACTACTGCCACTGCTACTGTTACTTTTCTCCTTCTTCTTCTACTACGACTTCTACTAATAACTGTACTTCTGCTACTACTGCTGCTGCTGCTACTACTACTACTACTACCACCATGATGACGAAGTCGATTAGCAGCTCTCGATTTCACACTAGCAATAAGGACAAAATTACCAGCGACACAGTAGCAGGGTTGTGTTCGTCGCTTCTTTCACTGGTAGTGGTAGCAGTAGCAGCTGTAGCGGTGCAGTCGCAGTCGCGGTCATTAGTCATCTTGCTGGGACGGCAAACGCTAAGACGTAGTAAGACAGCGAGAACTAGCCTTGTGAACGACGTCCTGCCTCGGCACACATTTTCTCACCCATCGGTTGTATCGAGGCATAGCTTCAGGATGTCCTTGATGTCAGGAGCATGGCTGCAAGAAAGCTTCATTCAACAACATGGCAAGTCACAACAATCATACTTCAGTGTTCATTGGCAGCACTATGCCTCGCTCTCGTCACATCTATGCGTGAATTGCCTGCCGCTGATACCTATAGCTGCTTGCTTTCCAGCGGCTTTGTCGTAACGCAGCGAGCTGGAGGCAAACTGGAGAGCAGCAGGGTTTTGCCTGACGGCTGCCAGAACGATGTCCTTGTCATCTTGCCTGGCCCGATGCTACCTCTTTGACATGCGACCAAAACTCTGTACGAACAGAGTCCGAAGATCGCACTCAAACTGTATTCGCTTCATGCATCGCGTGGCAGAAAAGATGGAGTTGTCTGTGCCATGAATGCCCAGCGGCAGTGTTGGCACTGCTGACAGCAGCATGCCGTCTCGCGCAACCGCCACAGATGCAAGTTCTCGTCGGGCCTACCAATCAAAAGCCCTTCACTGCTTCTCACTTCTGCAAAGCTTCGGAAATCAGAGTGTATCTGAGTTTCGGAAATCAGAGTATGTCTGGAGACAGCATCCCGGAAGAGGGCAGTACCCCAGAAGGGTCTCTGCAACATTTTAGGAATCGCTGCCGGTCCTTCTGCTCAGCTGGCAAGAAAGGAAAGATCTCGGGAGTCCTTGCGTGGCAAGTTTGAGCCATTCTCCCTGAGCAGGTCTTGGGGGTCAGCTTCAGTTTCGGAATCTATAGTGTTCTGCACAAGTTTCAAGGGAGTTGACAGTTTTTCCATTGAACTCTGGGGCCGGAAGGATATCTCGTCTCAGAATATCGAGCGGGGGAAGCGCGAATCAAGGCAGCGCCAGAGGAAGCACTACCGCATACATCCGGTCGTTGAACGAGAAGTCGTGTCATGGATGTGAGGCCGGATTGCTCAGACTCTGCAACATAAACCACAAGTTGACAAGATTCTGCTGAGATGCTGGCTTGGGAGGAATGCTTCCTTTGATGGGCTTTGGAGCATTTCAGCTCTGCAACATACGCGGCGTCCTCGTCACAGCTCGCCTTACCAAGCCCAGCTCATTTCGCCTTGCAGGGGCTGCGAAGCGAAGCGCAGCTCCGCTTTGCTGCACGGCCGCACCCACCACCTGCTCAAGGAGTCTCGATGACTCAATCCTAAACGCTGCGCCCACATGACCCGACCAAAAAAACAAGTGAGGAATTGCGACGCAATTGTCCAAACTTGGGATCTGCGGACTATGTTCCTGGCAAGGGATGCCGCGACATTTTTCCAAACTCTAGTTTATTGTCCGTGATACTTACAACCTGGGAACAGAAACACCCTCCCAGGTACTTACGGAAGATATGACTGAGTCACAAGCTTAGTCGTGAGTATCTGAAGCTCGAAGTAAGCCATGCTGTGCCTCCCGATCTGCCTGCAGCACGGGGGACGTGTACCTCGCAAAACCATGGTGAGAGAAAGATTGAGATGTGGACTTCTGGATGTGTTTAATGGGTAGGATTTAGGGTTTAAGTGGTAGTGTTCAAGGGCTTGAAGGCATAGGAGCAACCGACCAAGACCTGAAAGGAAAGCTGTAGCTGGTGCCGTTTCCTGCCATTCCAAGACCTTCCGGGGGTCTGGAAAGCCATAAAAAGTTGGGGGCACTGGAGCAAGCCTCCCTTCTGCCGCACGGCCTGCCGGCGGGCAGGCTTTGGCATCCGAAGATGTATCCTGTTGGTGCAAACTGTTAAAAAAGGGAGAATAAAACCTCAGATCTTCAGATCAAAGGCCCAACCTAGCGTAGGAGCCTTAATGATTGGAATAGATTTTGGATTTCTGAGACCTCTGCACTCCACAAAGCACTCAACTGCCCCGAGCTCGACAGTGCCAGATCCACTTAGGTTAATCTAGGGATTCGCAGGGAAACTAGAGCCCACTCTCTTCGGGCTGCCTCGAGTGTGATCTCCCGGTCGTAGCGCATAGGAACCGAAAGCAGCGGGAAAGCATCGCCTGGGCAATCGGGTTCTGGGTTTTCAAGATTTGGGGTCTAGGGGCTTTCGCAAAACGGGGGGCAAAGGCACAAGCTTGACGCGGTGAACATGAAAATTCTACACGAGACAACTCAAGGGAACATGTAGGTTGATGCGTTGTGCTGCCTTTGATTCTCCCCTCCGCCCTGAACCCACGAGATGGGACGTCAGTCGCATCGTGTGACATGGCACAACACAATAAAACCCAGTAGGCTTGAGGAGGTCAGGACCAAGCAGCAGTTTTTCTGCACCGCTGCAAGCGCCAAAGCTCTGTCATCCTGAGGATTTTCGCCTTTATGTTTGTTTGCAAGGCTCTGCGCGGTTCGGGGCTCAATGTTTGGCGAGTGCAAGGCTTTACGATGTTAGGGCTTGAGGGCTCAAGGCCATTTTGGGAGACTGTTGGATGTGTTTGGGGCAGCAGACCCAAAAAACCGGCTTGGGTTTTACCATAGCTGCAATGCAAACCTCTCCGGGAGCAACTGCAATTCGCACGTTTCGGGACATCCGCCATAGAGTTAAGTTTCGCTCAGCCCGGATCCTAAATCTATCAATCTCCCTTGCACATGTGACCATTCGTGCGAGATGGAGCAGGACCGGATTTCCCAATAATCAAGTACCCGAAGAAGTATGTAGGCCTGAGACACTTGGTTTTGCACGGTGACCTTGCAACCCGAAGCAATCACGTGCACCCACAAGGGACTCCCTGAATGGTTCAGGACTGACCCTGTGTGCTTACGCTGGCCTCCACACTTGGAGGATGCGCAGGGTCTTCGAGACTGTCCTGAGCTCTGGAAGGGGCCAAACCTGCTCCAAATCCTAAGCCCTAAACTCCGTCAACTCCAAAAACCTAAACCCTTCAGCATCCTGAATCGTAGAACTGTAAACTTGAAGATCCCATAGCCTCGAACTCCAGGGATGTGAGATGGTTGTTACAAGCCTGGCTGGTCCTCGCACCTTTTATCTTGAGCCCGGTGTCCTCTGTCCTCCTGCATGGAGTCGCTGCAGTCGCCTCCTGTCCCACCGGTTTCAGTGAGTCCCGCTTGGAGTGTACAGGGTCCAGAGGAGGAGACAGCTTCTGCGTTTACACATAATCATGTAAGGACACAGCAGCAGCAACACATACAATGAATACTAAATAAGGAAATAACATGTCACTACAGAACTATATATATATATATGTATATGTATATGTATATATACACACAGATGCACATTCATGGCAACCAGGCACTGTTATTACATGTCTCTGTGTCTCGATGTCCGGCCGGGCGGCAGGGGCGGGCGAGTTTATCGGTTCTGGCTTGGTGTTCTTGCCCCTGGCCAAGCCCGGAAACAAGAGCAACGCCTCATGTCCGAACCGTCCTTCATGCTAGCCTCAAATCAGCCTGCACAGAATACTGCTACATATCAAGCAAATAACGTATCAAAAAAGCAGCACCCGAAATTCACAAAGAAGCCAGAACGTGCCCTTGACACACAATTTACTACAAGGTCATGTTGAAACTATTGCTGCTGATGTTGCTCTTCTTCTAATTGGTCCCCTTCCTGTTGATAGTACAACAGCACGAAGAACAAAACAACACCTTGTGCTCCTCTCGCCTCGTCTACTACTACTACTACTACTGCTGCTGCTGCTGCTGCTTCTGCTTCTGCTTCTGCTGCTGCTACTGCTCCTACTATTACTACGATTACTTTTGCTACCACTCATACTATTGCTGCTATTGCTGCCACCACTATTACCACCACTGCTGCTGCTTCTGCTATTGCTAGCTGCTACTGCTACTGCTGCTACAACAACAACAACAACTACTACTACTACTACTACGACTACGACTACGACTACGACTACTGCTACTACTTCTGCTACAACAACAGCAACAACTACTACTAGTGCTGCATTCCTGCTAACAATAGTACTAGTATTAGTATGATAATGATAGCAGTAGTAGTAGTAGTAGTAGCAGCAGTAGTACTAGTAGCAGTAGTAGCAGCAGCAGCAGTAGCAGTATCGCCAACAGAGGAAGAAGTAGAGGAAAGCAAAAAATATGCTTACAACCGTAACAATGACAGTAACGTTCTTGCATTGTTGCAAGCGTGACCATCGAGCAACGTCAAGCTTACACACTCACTCTCAACCCTAGCCGCCTTAGCCCTGCCCTGCTGGGTCCTTGTTGAGGAATGCATCCTTAATTCCACAACAGAATTTACTGCACTAATAGTCATTCCTGCCGGCTGGACACCTCGCCCCGGCCGCCGTGGCTCCTCTTTGCAAGGCGGCTCCCTGCAAGACAGCTGGTCGCGAGAGCCAAGGCACTAAAATTCCCATGTGTCTGCATCTCTCGGTAACTTTAACTGACGAAAATAAGTAAACAAACACAATGCATGCACAAAGATGAACGTTGAAACATACAAACACTTGCGCATGTTTGCTCTGTGTGTATTTAGTTAGTTCGCAAGCTAAACAAACAGTTTGCCGCTTGTGTAGTCATGAGTTTTAGTCTACACTGTATAGATTAACTCCAGTAGATGTTGTGTATGTATAATATGAACATGTGTGTGTGTGTGTCTGCCTGCCTGCCTGCCTGCCTGCCTGTCTCTTTCTGTCTGTCTCTCTGTCTATCTGTCTCTGTCTGTCTCTGTCTTCGTCTGTCTCTTTGTCTGCGGTTGTCTGTCTCTGTCTGTGTCCCTCTGTCTGTCTGTATGTAGGCCTGTCTGTCTGTGTAGATGCCATTCAATGAATTTTACTGTTTATATTTGTGTATATTATATTATATTATATTATATTATATTATATTATACTATATTATATTATATTATATTGTATTATATTATAGTATAGTATATTATATTATATTGAATTAGATTATACTATGTTATTTTATATTATATGTTATATTATATTATATTATATTATATGTTATAATATTATACTATATGGTATTATATATATATACATATATATAAGATTATATGTGAAAGAACACTTACATATGTGTTGGATTGGTTGTGTCTTTGCTTTTCTCTGCTTACTTGTTCATCTCTTTGTGCATACGCATGTGTGCGTGTATGTATGTATGTATGTATGTATGTATGTGTGTATGTATGTATGTATGTATGTATGCATGTACGTATGTAAGTACGTATGCATACATATATGCATACATACATGCATACATACATGCATACATACATACATACATACATACATACATATATACTTACATACTTACATACTTACGTACACACATACATACATACACACATACGTACAGGCGTACATGCGTACATACGTACATACGTACATATGTGCATACGTACAAATGTACATACGTACATACATCCGTACGTACATACGCACATACGCACATACGTACATGCATGCCTGCATGCATGCATGCATGCATGCATACAGACTGACTGATTGATAGATAGACAGATAGATAGATAGTCTATATACAAATATGTGTATATATATGTACATATATAAATATGGGGAGAGAGAGAGAGAGAAGCTTATTCATTTACATATTTATGCATTTAACCATTTCTCGGTTCTTAACGGGTACATATCTATACATTTAACCCTTTCTTGTTTCTTAACGGGTAATTATGTATGAAAATGCCAATCATCGTTGTGTGTGTGTGTGTTTGGATCTGCGTGTGTCTGCGTTGAACGAGTCTCCTTCTCCACGCTCTGCGTATCTTGCGTCTTGGGTGTAGGCTTCAGGAAAACAACCCTAACCCCCAAACCCTGACACTCAGTGCAGCCTTTGATGTTCAACTAAACAAGAATATCCAACCCACAACCCCAAAGAGCCTTTTGGGCGCCGACCGTCGTCTGGGTGGTGAGGCTCTCTTAGGAGAAGCTCTAGGCGAGCGCCGGGGGGGTGACAGCCTTGCCTGGGCTTGGCTCTCGTACTTGAGCTTCATCAGGGCTTCAACAGGTTGTGCAAGGGTTTCAGCGGCCTTGTGTCAGGGTTTACACCCTGTAGTCTACGGCATCATAGGCCTTGCAAGGTTTTAGTACAGGGTTAGGTTTAAGATTTAAGATTTCATAGTGAAGGCTTTGGGATGTAAGGGACTTGTTGTAAGTTTCCAAAGACCCAGTTGCCGGTGGCTGCCCGCCTGGTGATCGCCGGACCTCGACTTGCCGCTGGAAGTCCAGAGGAGCATCACCAGAATCAGCTAATACGAGGGTCTTATTCAGGTTTCTATCGCAGCTCCGTGAAACAACCAAATTTGGGGTGTCTGTCAAGAAATGCGTGACACATCCCCGAAGCAGCAGAGATGTCTTCAGTGCTTCACCCAGCAGCGCCTCGTGACTATCTCGCCCTCGCGGCCGGCTGTGGCTGCGCGGACTGGGGCTAAGCACATCCCCGGCGGGGCTGCGCGCATCGCAGCTGCGGCTGCGCTCGCGGGCCTCGCCTGCAGGTCTGGATGTTCGGATACTATATTATACTATATTATACTATATTATAGTATATTATAGTATATTATACTATATTATAGTATATTATAGTATACTATATTGTAGTATATTATACTACTAATTCTGGGTTGCGACAGGGTCGAAATACAACGAAACGGGAGAAAATACAACCACACGGGGGAGAACACAACTGAACCACTATTGTGGGGTCTCCCAGACAGGAAAAATTACAACTGGCTAGTCTGGTGGCTTTATAAGTTTGGACAGAAAACCCATGGTACAGCCTTAAGGTTTCAGAGTACCAAAGCTGGATAATGGTGGTTGCGCCCTAGCACGAATGAGGATTCAACATGATTATTTCGGCTTGTAAGCTTGTATACTTTCGGTCATGCAAGTGCGAAAGGCATGTAGGCAATACCTAACATGATTATTTCGGTTTGCATGCTTTCGGTCATGTACTTACATCTCAAACAAAGCCCCAAACACCCCTTATAAAGCCCCAAAGACACCTAGTTGTATAAT